TTATTGTTTACTTTAACTGCTGTGTGGTTGATTTACTGTGATATTTACATTATTTAAAAACAATGTTGCCTTCAATAAATTATGATAACAGCTGTGTATTATTTCTTCTCTGGAATTAATATGCTAGAAGTATCAGATATATATTCAAAGAGTTGTGGGAAAAAAAACTTATTTCGATCACCTGTCATTAACTGGAGATATTAAACTCAGATTTTAAACTTAGAATGTTGACTAAACAAGCAAATTAAAAGAATTGTGGTTCCCTGCTTCCGGTGTCTTCATGAGTGAGATGTCACTATTTATGGCATATTATGTCATTTAGTAGAAGTTATAACCAAAGTTGATTTTTTTTAATTAGGTCAAATATGAAGGTCATGGGTCAGAAATTATAGCATGCTTTGAAATATCTTATCACATTTAATGCACATCAAATATGAAAGCCCTATCTCTTCTAAGTCAGAAGTTGGAAGGAAAAAATTAAGATTTTTTGAAAAGTAGGTCAAACTTCAAGGTCAAGTTCATGGGATCAAAGATCATAGTGTATGTAGAAAACTTTTGTCATAGACACTATACAGGTTTAAAATGAAAGCCCTATCTCTTCTCATTGAAAAAGTCATGATCATGACCAAGGTTGAAGTTTTTAAAAGTAGATCAAACTTCAAGGTCTAGAGGTCAAAACTTCGAGGTCATAGGTAAAAAATCATGGTGTATTTAGAAATTTCTTGTCACAGGTAATAGATATATTTAAAACGAAAGCCCTATCTCTTCTGATTTATAAGTTATGGCCAACTGAAGCAATGTTTAAATTTTTTTAAAAGTTAAAGGTAGGTCAAACTTTAAGGTCACAGGATAAAAAATCCTTGTATAATTCAGAAAGGTCTTGTCACAGGCAATACACATGTGTAATATGAAAACTCTATCTATTCTCATTCAAAAGACGTCAAAGTTTGAAAGTTTTTGTGACAGACGAATGAGAGGGGCTGGGTGGTTGTGGCCATTTTTAGAATATTTTGATCTCCTTCAAAAGAAGAGCTCCATGTAAAGATATAATACAATTATCAAATTTTAAAACTAAAATTTATGAAATTTTTCTTTGCCAAATGAAAGTTGACAGCTTAAGATACCATATTCCAAAATTTAAGTTATATCTGGTGGTTAATAGAAAAATAATTTGTTGACCCCTAGCCTCCTTAATGTTCCCTCTCTTTCGCGAAAGCGGGGGACAATAGGGATATGTAAGCAACATCTACATGTATACACTGCAAGCAAAAGATTTCTTATTCTTTATTTTGTCCTGTTAGTGTGATCTGTCCATACCTATAAAATAGATTGTATTCTGCATTGTGTCGCTCAATCTGTATTCTATTCAAGCATTCTTTACATTTTGCTATAGACCAAAATGATTTAACTGAAAGTAATAATTTCTGTTTATAAATAGCTGTCTGAACATTTTTTTTCCCTGAAGGTAAATGACTAATAACCTATGATGAAAATATTACATTTATATTGTTTTAAAACAAACAACTGTATAGAGTTTTCTAGCTAATCGATTTTCTTTTGAACATCTGCGCATTTGCCTTCCTTGATGACTCGGTGATACATGTATAGCAAACGGAAACCTTTGCATGCATCACTGAAGCAATAGTCCGAGTTTACCTTTGCTTTTTTTTTAAACATAAAAAAAGAATACATCAGTGAAATAGTTTCGCTTTATTTTAAATGAATCTTCGTGGTTCCGAATAGATTTGATTTAAATCTATATGTAATGTATAATAGGCAAGAGCTATATTTAAAAATTCTACAAATCAGTAAAACATTATATTCAACTTTATCTAAAAAAAAAAAAAAAAGATTCAAAAAACAACTAGTAAATGTGTTCTTCTATACAAGTGATATTTACAGGAAAAACATGTACCAAGAAACAACAATTTACAATTACAGTAGAGAGAGAATATGTACCTCAAGATAAAGCTTCATAAGGCAACAAGCGATTAAAACATTTTTTTCGGGAATTCTTGGGTTGATTTGTTTGCAAATAAAATAAACTTCATCAGAAATAGCCTTTTCCTACAGAATTTAGAAGATATGTGCTACATGTAAAATGTTTACCTTTTATGATACGTGCTAAGTCTTATTTTTATGGATTTCCAACATGTGTCATGAATCAATGTCTACTACAATAACAAAGCATCTTTGATATCTAGCTTGTACATAAAGTACAGTGATCGTGAAAAACTGATACAGTTTGAATGTATGCCCAAATAAGCACTGATGCGGACTGGTGACATTACAATGGCAGTCATTTCTTATTACATTTTTTAAAATTGTTCATAATTATATATTTACATGTGTGTGAATTGCATAAAGCTTAGAATTTATTTTTTTATCTTCAGAAATTTATTTAAGTTTTTCTTAGAAACAGAACAATATGGATTAATAATGTGGAAAAGGATGGTATTTTGCTGTTGTTAAACTAAATTTATTCTGAGATGCCAGTCAGTATAAAAGCGAAGTGGTTATCTAAGAAGTTGTTAGGATTTCATATGGGAAATACTTGCATTTCATTAAAAACATACAAAAACATTTAAAGCAAAAACAGCAGTGGATGCATAGATTGCAATGAGCTTCTATTAGAACACTTCTTTTTCGAATTCTGCCCGATCAATGACACCGTCATTGTTTTTGTCCGCTTTTTTGATCAATTTATCGATCTCTTCGTCCGTAAAATGACCAATCTCTCTCATAGCGGCCGCCACTTCGTCCCTGGCCAGTTTCCCGTCGCCATTTTTATCAATTTTCTGAAAGGCTTCCTCCACGGCTGTTCTGTAATTATATATTACAACTGCATCATTTATTTGTTAAAAGAAAACTGTTTTATAGTCCATTCTTTCGATCTTTTTTCGTTTAAATAACTTCCGGTCATCTTTCCCCCTCTACCCATATTAATACTGACCTTCTCTCTTTCTTCATCATTTCGGACAGGAATTCCTCCTTTGTTATCTGTCCGTCCCCATTCTTGTCAATGTCAGAGAACATTTCCTGTAAAAAAAAAATACAGATTATTAATAATGTCAAAACTTATTAATAACAATGAAATTGTATATTGGACGAGAAATTCAACATTTTGTTGAATAATTGGAAATACAGGTATACCAATTTTTTTCTTATATACAAATTTTGTAGCTTCTTGTGCATTTTGCACTGAAGACCTTTTCTTAATTAAAAAAAATGTTATAATTGTCCTCTGATGAGGGCATCAGGGCATCTTTGAGGATCGATTCCAGACACATTATAATCAGTCACTGACATTATTTTTTTTGGGGGGGGGGGGGGGGGCAAATACGGGCAAAAAACACAGTTAAAAGTGAAACTTCACGACAAACTTTCCAACAACATGCATGTATCAATTCAAATAACATTTACTTTTTTCAGTCTTTTGCACTGAGGTATCGAAAGATTTTAATGAAAGAAAAAAGAAACTCAAACAGAAAAAAGGAAGGTACATGTATATAATATGCACTTTGATTTTATCAAAGGACAAGGTAAGGTAACGGTCGAATCTGGTCTCTCCTTTTATGTAAAAATCAGAACTTTGCTAAGATTGTGAAAGCTTGTAGAAAAAAAATAGTTATATTGATTCAAAGCTTACAAGGAGATCCCAAGGGGGGGGGGGGGGGTCAGAGTTAGGACAATTCCCCGAACTTCCGCAATTCTGCTGTAATTCTATCAAATTTAAGATACTTTTGTCTTCGGAAACACAGAGCACAAGCTTGCCATTCTGAGATCTGTATACATAAATCGATAAAAAATTGCATAAAAATAAGAAATTTCGAAGATTGACATATATTATTCCTTCTCTTTGACCTCTGCATACCCCTCAACTTAGAACCAATACACATTTTGTGGCAGAGCTGACAACAGGTTTTTATTTATAAACTGTTATATCATTCTAAAAGACACCCTAAATCGGGGGCCAAAAGTGGGTCCTAGCCTATCTCGTCCTTTTTACCACTTTTTTCAGAAAATCGAAACACAGTACAGTTGTAAACAATTTTAGATCAATACATAGCGTTGCGTGATAATTTTTAAAATCTTTCCATTTTAAGAGAGAGAGAGAGAGAGAGAGAGAGAGACTTACAGCTATCTCGGAGTCGGTTACAAAGTAAGAAATTTCGAAAATTGACATATATTATTCCTTCTCTTTGACCTCTGCATACCCCTCAACTTAGAACCAATACACATTTTGTGGCAGAGCTGACAACAGGTTTTTATTTACAAACTGTTATATCATTCTAAAAGACACCCTAAATCGGGGGTCAAAAGTGGGTCATAGCCTATTTCGTCCTTTTTACCACTTTTTTCAGAAAATCGAAACACAGTACAGTTGTAAACAATTTTAGATCAATACATAGCAATGCGTGATAATTTATAAAATCTTTCCATTTTAAGAGAGAGAGAGAGAGAGAGAGAGACTTACAGCTATCTCGGAGTCGGTTAAATCTTTACGATTATAATCCTCTACCAGTGCTTTCTTTAGCTCGCTTATTGAGAGAACACCATTTTTATCCCTATCTGTTCTGTCAAAGAATTCCAGCCATAAACACTCCGTCTTATTTCTCTCCTCCATGTTAATTTCAAATGTATAGTACCGGTATTTCTCGGAACTATTTCACATTCCAAGTATGTATTTCAACTGGTAAATTTTATTCAATATATCACGTAACATTGATAGAAAGAAGGGGTATTTTCCGAGAAACAATAAACGCTTCCTTTTAAATTCCTTTGTCACTTTATGTTAGGTCCGTTCTTTTTATTTAAAAAAATGATAAAGAACTTCTAAAACCTGCAATCGGTGTTTGATTATTAAATGTCCAACAACAAATTTATGCAGTTAATATTTACTTTGCAACTACATGTATATCGATTTCTTTACATGTCACCCGATAAATTATATAAAGCTTGGAGAAAGGGCTACCGAGGTTTTTTGTTTTAAATTTATTATCAAATTGCTGATGATATTGTTACTGTCTGCATTGAGCTCTAGCAACAAAAAGTTACTCTAGCGAGAAAAGACGTATGACTTAATGGACATCTGAGTAGCATTAAGTGACTTTATGAGACCTACATGTGCACTACAATATCTTTTTGGTTTTTTTATCACCCCTCGCATCCGTGTTAAAGGGGAGATAGTAACGTGTATGTGTGTGGATGGGTTAGTTTGCCTTTGTTTACGTAACGGAAGTGACGTGATTTGATGTCGGTTGAAAACAGTGTACATACTAGTATGCGGCACGTGTATCATTCAATCAAAGTTGTCCTAGTCTATGAAAATTCCTTTTTTATGACAATGCTAACAACGCCCATTTCAACCAAAATTAATTAGATATTTATATTGATAAGTTTTATGTGAATCAAAATTAACAGGAATCAGGGCAAAAGGGAATACCGGGGTACTACTTTAAAACATTTTTGAAAAAAAAATGTGCACAAACAAATAGGTGGAATAACCCAGAACTGTTTCTTTCTTTTTACCCAGTAGAGCTTAAATGTTCCATCATTCTATTGTTCAAAAAGCACAGTATTTTTTTTTGGGGGGGGGTGGTTAAAGGAGTCGGCGTCAATATCTTATTATTTAATGGTTTGATAAAACTGAAGTTTAATTTTAAAAATAAAATAAATATTTTAGATAGTTTATTTGCTTGCAGTTTTACTTCCCAAAATTCAGAAAACTTACTTTAAAAAAACTTTTCAATATCATGGTTGAATATACACTTATAGTAATAGACACTATCTGAGAGTAAAACTGTTGAATATTAAAGATAGAATGGTCATTCTAGCTACAGAGAACGGAGACTTACGGCTACTTCCCGGTCTGAGAGGGTTTGATTATATTCCACGGTCAGAATGTCTTTTAGTTCCTCTATACTGACCGCACCATCACCATTCACATCCGCTTTCTCAAAAAATTTCAGCCACGCAGCTTCAACTTCTTGCAGTTTATTGGCCATATTTTTATCTATGACACAAAAATGTTTTTTCCAACTTATAAAAAAAATCCTGCAGAAAATTATTTTTTCGTTTTTCTCCTTTGTTTTACTTTATATGATACAATATCGATATAGCTTTCCCCGTTTATTTTATATTCTGTAAAGTTAAAGAGCACTCCGGGTCGTATATAACTGAATATTAGGGGGCAATCAATAGAGGTAACAAGGAGGGCCACACACACATATATCGTACCCTCTCCGTGTATCCCCCAACACAGCAACACAGGCCAGGCAGAAAAGGCGAAATATATTACATTTAAAATTCAAAGTAGAGACTTAATTTAGTTTTGAATTGCCAAAAATATTTGCATGCTCTATAGTGAGACCGATTTCCCCTTTTTCTTCATCAACAGGCCTAGCGTGAAAATTACTGTTTATCAAACAATATCGTATTGATTAAAAATATTCCCTGGGCATACATTAATATATGTTGCTTTGTCGATGGATCGTTTTTATTCCCCTAGCTTTCCATCACAAGCGATGTATCATGACAGTTTACCACATGAATTTCGATAAATGGTTGCATATGTGTACACTTACATGTACTTCATTGCTACGTATGTACATGTAAGGATATCTAACTTCAGGTAAATTCGTGTAAGCAAACAAACATCGATGTTATTTTAATTTTCAATCTAAATTTGAAAATGATATAATTTTCAACCATGCATTGAAAATAAATAAACGGCAATAATATAAAACATTTTATTGTTTCTCCCTAAACTTTGAATACATGTACATGTACTAGGCCTACATGTAATATATTTTATGACTGCTTACGAGTTTTATAAATTTTGCAAGATGGTTCTTTTGACCAGAAATGCATTCTCTAATCCGCTAAAAATATTGTAAAAAGTCTATTATTTTCCACAGAGGAAAATAAAACGATGGAAAACCATTAATGGTCAATGAATAATTCATTCACGAATAAAATTACAACTATTGAATGAGAATAGAAAAATATCTTGTATCATAGAAAGTGAGGTCAAGGAGAAAGAACAGCAACCGGTGATCACATTTTACTGGTACATGTTATTTTAAAAAAAAAATTTTGAACGTTTCTTTCAAAATTTCTGTTTCATAGGGGCCACAGACTCATCAATACAAGTCTGATTTATATGGTAATTTGACAATAGGGAGTGGCCTACATTTACATGTATACATATTCCGTCACGATTCGAGCATTTGTACTGGGAGGAATGTAGCCAGTATGTTCGAAGCTTGTACACGAACATGTTTGTATTTACGTGCTGTCACCGGTCTATTTTATAAAAGGAAAATATACTCCAAGGGAGGGGTAAAATCCTTCGTACAGAAGAAAAAAATACACCAAGAAAGGGGTAAAACTACCCCTCATCATGTTTGTTTTCACCCCCCCCCCTCCCTCCCCCCACTGATGTACCGTCACACGGGTTTCTAGTGTGATTTTTTTTTTTTTGGAAAAATGTTCAGAGGCTTTTCTGAGTCTCAATCGACAATTTAATTAAGATACGTTGTCTTCCATGTCTAATCCTATGCATGAAGATGCTTTGCGTCAAGCCTGATATTGAAGAGTTTTGGGGGAAGGAAAAATGTAAAGGCTTAAGAATTTCAGCTTAATCTAGTACTCATCTATCATCCCACGGCTCTAAAAGATAAACCTATTATTTGTGTAATATGACGAAATTTCTTGAGGAAAAGTATTACATCATGGATAAAGATCGAGGGGTTGAAAAATCTGTTCACGAAAATATCGTTTAATCAGATACAATTCTACCATTCACTAATCACTATGTACACAATCTTATTCAACAAGATAATCAAGGTCTTCAGTTATATGTATAGTTGTATTGAAGAGCGAGAAAGAAAGAAATTCGTCTCCGCGTCAGGTTTTCGACAATCGACAGTCTCTTTGTCGATGGAGAGTCGGGGGATTCACTGTGAAGAACGGAAGATACAGTTTGATTTGAATGCCATTTTTGAGAAAAATTCACACGTATTTAAAACATGTCA